TATTATCCCTATTGAAGTTGTATTGTGATGACAATAATAAGTTATTATTTTTGATTATAGAATCTTTTCATAATAGAGGGTCTGATTATATGTGTTGGGATCAGTGATCGGGATGATTTCTTTTGTTTTGCGTCCCGAAAGGGAAAGGAAACAAAAGAAACTATAGCTCGTTAGAACGGCCAGCCCGCTTTATATAATCAGACACTAAGTGCCTCAACAGACCTCCCAGGGAGAACCCGTGCAGAGCACAGCAGAGCAGACAACACGTGAGGTGAACTGCTCGTTTTCGKGGTACACGTGAAGCAGCGCAAGGCCTAAGCCCGGCAAAACAGGCAGTATTTTTGACCGCAAACCTCAATGTGGCATGTCGGGGACAACGGCGATTGTCGAGCGACGATTGTTTACTGAAAATGGAGACTAAATAGAGCCATAGACTATTTAAGAAATATAAAACGGCGCGCGAAGCAAGCTTAGGAACACGAGCGTAGCAAGTGTTTCTCTTGCTCCTCGAGTGTTTTCCAACTCCCGTGTTTATATCAGAGGACAGAGACACAAGCGGCCGTTTTATATTTCTTTTATAAAATTTTTCGAGCGAAAAGAAAATTTTGCCGGTAAGCCGTGTCTCTGTCCTCTGATATAAACACGGTCGTCAGCCAATCAGAGCGCGCGTTATATATCAAAAATCTTATAACTTTAAGTATAAATCAGTTATTATTTCTGAGCATCGATTAGCAAAACGCATCACTCATTTCGGTCGTGCAAGCACCGGCATCATTTGCGCAAAAACTTCACCAAAAACAAAAGAAAGAATGAAAAAATTTTCACATTACAATAGCTCTAGAATTCTCAAGATTCAGTTTACGGACTCTTGCCTCGACTAGCGAAATATTTGGCTTATAAAAGGTTATACTAAATTTTTGGCAATACGGCATTTTTGCTACCTCAGCCAAGAGAGCCGGAAGCATTCGGTAATCGGTAATCTCAATTTTTACCCGAAATGCATCATTTGTTTGTGTAAACGTGGGACTTTGCGGCATACAGCTATTTCAAAAATCGTTGTCGGAGAGAACGGCGAACGGCAATTGTCGAAGGGACATTGCACGACCGAAAAGGACTATGGTTGCACTGTTTTGATAAACAGAGTTTCACTTATTGGATTCACTTTACATAGAAATGGAGATCAAATGGAGCCAATGTTTACCACAGACCATCTTACAGTACAAATCAGTTGCTATTGCCTTTAAACTAGCAAATTCCATGGCTACTTTCGGTTGTGCAATTGCCGTTCGACCATTGACATTCGCCATTTTATCTGACAACCTTCTTTGAAACAGCTATATCATATAAACCAAAGGGAACTTCTCTCCGCTTTGCGTCCTCATGACTCCGACTATGAATTTGCTTATAGTTCAACAATAACAGTATTTCTGCAAGGATTAAATATTACTTTCTGTTCGTTTTTAACTAGTCCAAGATTCGTTGCATATCTCAGCAAAAACAATTGTCAAAAGTTGTTTTATGTGTTTTATTTTTATACTGCCGGTTTTATGTGCAATTGTGTGTGTGTTTCTAAGCAATCAATCAATCAAAAATCTTTAAAATGATCATTCTTTACAATTTTGTGGATTTACATATTATACATTACAATATTATATAGCTCGGATGTAACACACGATTTCATTGGCTAAAAAGCGGGCCTTACTTTCCCGTACGGACCAGATGAAACGAGAAAAAAAGCTTTTTTTATTAAAAAGGCTCGCTTTCTCTCTTTTTGTAGTTGCACTGTATGAAAAAGAGTCAAAAATGAATCCAAATTTTTCCATCAAGGTTTCTCAGGCTTTTCTTTTTGGATCCTTCTATTTTGAATGATAAGAAAAGTACGAACAAAAACGTATTTTTATGTCCGATTCTCTATTAATTTTACTATTTTTCCCTGAAAATGCTATATAATAAATATCTTATTAACCTCGCTTGCTCGAGCCATACGGGAAGTTATGAAACCTCGTTTTTTTTATTAATAACGATATTAATATTCAGTGATTAATAAAACGATGTTAATATTCAATGATTAAGAAAGGGCGTCGTAAAGAGAGTCTGTGAATGCTTGTATACTTTATAAGCCTTCAAAAAATAGTAAAATAATTATCAAATGATCTTTCATATTAATTAATAATAATTCATACAAAAAATCACAGGCTATACTTGGTTCGTAGACTCTAGAACATCGTGYCAAACTGAGATCAAATACAAAGCGGCGTTCAATTAAATTCGACAGTATTGAATCAAATATGAGTTCAGTTGAATCAGCGACTTAAACAGTCAAAAATACAGCAATGGTGCGGCAGTTGATTTAACGTCGCATCTTACATGCGTCAAACGTAATGTATACATTATTTCGTATAGAAAATTCATCTGTGTTGTCCGCCATATTGGAAAACACAGTGACCGAGAGGGGATTGGGAATTATATTCGCCGTCAAAATCAAATACCGCATTTAATTGCTTTAGTTGGCTAAAATAGACATTGTATTCGGCGCATGTGAACTTCGGCATATAACTTGGGCCTAACTCGCTCAAGAATTAGGAATGTTTGCATGGTCTCTTTGGGACCTGGTGTTTCAATTCCCAAATATTTTTGTTACAATATCACTACTGTTATCTTTTGATCTCCAAACAAAAACGACAAAAAAGAAAAAATTAATAACTTTACCTTGGGACGCAAAGTAAACAGTTCTTATTCTCAATAGACTGACGTCTAATCAGAGATTAAGAAATATTCATAAAAAGTTGACAGAAAAATCTCTGAATTCGTCCTTTCCTGCTAAAATTCTGAAACAAAAGCCCAATAAGTTCTTTCCTTTGTATAATTTACAAAAACCTTAGATGTTAAATAGAATAATGAGAACAGCAAGTTTGATTTTAATAAGTTTTTCGCGGCATGTATGTAATTGATTGTGCATCTGCCATTGTTGGCTTTTCTTGTTGACTGAAAGCTACCTCATCGATAATCTGCTTGCAAGATAATGCCAGCTTAAATGTGTCAGAAAATGACTTTTTGAACAGTTATGGAAATCTTTGCTGTAGTTTTCTTHGCGCTGGCAGTAATGTAACTGAAAACTGGGTTGTTTCACTGAAAGGTATAATTCCTGTTATGTTTTTTCGCAGAAAGGAAGTTTGGTCACCATGGCGCTCTTTCAACACATTACACTTTGCTATTTATACCTGTCATAAATTCCTATCTTAACGTTTCAAAGACACAGAAAAACTTCATTGGCAAGATATTTCAAGGTAAATTCCACTAAGTTATGAAAGAAATTGAGCTCAACTTGCAAGAAAGTGTTGTCGAAGTTAATAAAAATCCGACGCTTCGCAAAAGTTGTTCATTTGTAGAGAGAAAGAAGCGTGAAGCTAGACTCAGGCGTCGAAGATCTTCTAGTAATTCTACTCCCAGCTTTCTTCTTATTGCSGGTACAACAAAGACAGTGCACACCGTTAAGGAGAARTTTAAAGAGCGAATTCTTGYGAGTCAATCAGTTGATAACGACAAAAACAAGCATAATGATGAAAMCTTGAAAGAAAAACTACAACWGAGCAAGCAAATTGAACCTACGAAACAACAACAAGAAGACAACTCATTTGMTGCGCACAATAATRATGATAAAAACAAACTTCCAGACATTTCCACAAATARTGATATTGCTGTAAAAGTCGAAACGAAGTATTCCATAGCAAATAATACCAAACCAAACAAAAATAAKCAATCTAGAAAGAAAAATTGGAAGCCTACGAGCTCATTTCATACTACTTTACCACCGATAGCAGAAAGCCAGTTAGACATCGGCAATCTTCCATCTGCCGTAAGAGTTAGTGTGGAAGTCACCCGTACTGCAACGCCGCTTCCTTTTTTATAGGAAAATTTAAATGTGTGTCAAGTGCASGAACAATGAAAGAAGACACATTGTTTCATTTAGATCAGTTTTCTTCGGGCTCAAATTTGATGGATTTGTTATTTGAAATTATTATGATTTGGCTGCAACTAATTCTGTAAGTTTTGCTACCAAACTTGGTTCATATTCCAAGCTTGTAATAAAGATGCAATGGAAAAAGAAACAAGAATTTTTATTTGACCGTTCTCCAGGACTCCGGCGGCGTGTGATTGTAAATTCGTCYACATTTTAGTTTTATGACCATTTGAAGAATCTATAATAGTAGTTAAGAAAGTGTCTTCTTTGCTAAAATGCATTTAGTTTTTTACCGTTTCTTTAAAAAACCTGTTTTTGCGATCATTTCGCCAAAGTAAAATCGAGAATTACATTTCCCGTGATGCTTTGTTATAGGAAATGRCGGCGTTATGCAGTGCGTAAAATAAACTGCAAGGTTGCCATGGAGACAAGGTTGTTAAGCTGTTTAATTTACGCCAAAAACGAGCAAAACCTTGATTAATTATTAATGCAATGAAATAAGAAGATARAAAAATGTCAGTGCGAAAAAATTCAATACCAAATACAATTAGTTTGGCTACTTTCAAAATCTCAAAGTGATAATTGTGAATCTCAATCAAATTTTATATCAGATAACTGTTTCTTGATCTGAACTGTCACAAAATAGAATCAAATGGGATATTCATAATGGAAAATGACACTTAAAATGTTAAGAGCGAAATCCGGAAGTAACTCGCGCTTCTTCAATATATTCCTTAGAAAAACAATGTATTACATTCTTACTGAAAAAGAGATAGGTCAATTAGTAAATAAACCCCTTCTGACGGCTGGGATATCGGCTGATAATGTCCGAGGATGAGAAATGGTCCGAAAAATGAACATTTGGCCGAGAAGCGAAGCTTCGAGGGCAAATGTGATATTTTGATAACTATTTCTCTTCCGAGGACATTATCAGCCGATATCCCAGTGAGCCAAGAAGGGGTTTATTTATTTTATATCCCAAGGAATTCATTTTGTTGTGTTGAGGAAGAAAAGCCATCAAAGTGCAAGGTAAAATCTACACACGATGTGATTGGTTCACAGTAATTTTTCCGTTATTTGATTGGTTAATCATTTGACAAGTGTTGACAAGGCGGCAAAAGTCTCTACTGAAGGAAAAACTACAAATTTATTGCTGCTTTTAACGTAAATTACAAGTCATTTTAAACAGAAAACCTCGAAAATGAGTGTCTTTAGTTCTTTTGCTTTGAGCTGAAGTAAAAATGATAGTCATTAGATATAGAATTTGCGAAATTAAGAGACACAGAACGAACTAGCGAGTGAAAATGTTTGTAAACAAACCGGCATTTTAGTGGCTAGTAATTTTCTCAACGCAAAATACATTCACAGCGTACTTAGTCGACTTATTTGTATTTCCAGATGTCGTTTTGTCAACTAGTTTTTTATTCTCATCATCAGAGCTCTTTAAAAAGCGGTTTTGATCACTTTCTATAGCTTTTTTTGTGTCAAAAACAAATCTGAAAACTTACGCGGATAAATATCACCTTCGGACGGGGGATATCGCCTGATCGTCCGCCGAAAATGTACCACGTGACGCCTTTGGACCAATGGATGCGCGTGAAAATATATTGTTGGGATATAACTAATGATATCTTTTATTCGAATGACAAGTTTTAAATGAAAAGATCGAAGTAGGGCTATCACATAAAATTGCACGGCTTATCACAGAGAGCAGCTTAATCAACAGTTAATGCACAATATATCTTTTGGAGTCCCTGTGGCGCAGTAGTTGAAGCTAGTCTGGGGCGAGACACCTGTTTTTGCTTGTTTCAAGTCTCACACGGACAGTCGTAAAGCAGTGGAAAATTAATAAAAGAATTTTTTCCACTTGTTTGTTTGGTTATTATTGAGTAATAATTTGATATTCGATATTCTTCACATTTGAGTTTTGAAGGGTACAAAATTCAAACAGTTTAAAGCTGAACTTTATGGTAATTTTCCAGTACATGGACCCTGGGTATTCCATTATTCCTTGAGTTGTATTCCTTACAAAGAAAACAGCATTCAAGATATCGGCCGTATTTGCGAGCTCTGATTCATTTACTGCATATATCGAATATATCCAGTCACAAATATTAGTAAACAAAGTCGAATGAACTTACAAAATCTATCACTTGCCGTCTTGTTTTCTCAAAATTTTATTCGGGTAGGAAGTTTGAGTATAAACTTGACANAAATACTCTGTGTTCAAAGAAGACAATAAAAATTTATGCTTGATTGAAGCTAAGCTTGCACAAAAGAGAATTCAAAACTGGATTAAGACCAATTAAGACCAATTATGGTCTTGGAATACTCTCTATTAGTATTCAGCATTTAATGTTTTCTGAAAGCCGCCTACTTGCACGTCCGCAATGTAAAAATATTGCCTCCACTCATTAGCATAATTATTTTTCAACCTTATTTGTAATGGCTCCTGAAAAAGTTCATTGATCCTAGTAAGTTATGAAACTCGTAGAAGACATAATTTGTCAAATCCGCTTATTTTACAGAGAAATTTTGGTTCGGTTATAATGGTTTATATCCGCCAGACAAACGTTTCTCTAAAAATAGCATTTATTTWCGTTTGCCATATACGTCACAGCGGCCATCTTGGTTGTACTTCAAAAGGATTTCTCATTTGTACTCTATTGCCCATTCACCAACATGACCGCCTGTCTTTTGTMTTCTGAATCTCATGAGAATGATTGAAAACGATCAATTGTATTTAGTATAGTGGGCTAAAAACCCATTTTTTTTTCCTGTTCTTTACAAAGAAGCTGTTTCAATGTTAGTTTTTTGCACAAAGATTTTGTCAAGATAAGTCATTTTTACTACACCAAAAGACAGAAATTACTCTTCTAATTCAAGTCCTGAGGCGTCCATTAGGGGAAAAAACCTTCAAAAGATTTATCAAMTGCAAATATTCTTTGGCYTTWAGTGAATTTTACATATACTTATGAAATATAGGAACAGCRGCCATATTTTACAACACAGGAAGCCCGCGATTAACTTTATCTAGAGTACTTCTTCTGTTTCTTTGCTCCTTAGCGCCTTAAGACATTCAGAGAGCGATTTCTTTGCAATCACGACAAATTCCTCATAAACGAGCTTTCCGTCGCCATCGCGATCAAGCATGHTGATGAATTCTTCAGCCTCTCTAGGAGTGAGTTTTTCTCCCACATTGGTGAGCGCGTAGCGGAGCTCTTCAGCTGAGATGTAGCCATCTCCATTACGATCAAAAACTCTGACAAAAATAAATAAATAAATAAATATAAGTAAATAAATACTAATAAGTAAGTAAATAATAAGTTTTACTTGTAGACATATAGCTGTTTCAAAAAAGGTTGTCGGATAAAATGGCGAATGTCAATGGTCGAACGGCAATTGCACAACCGAAAGTAGCCATGGGTTTTGCTAGTTGAAAGTCAATAACAACTGATTTGTACTGTAAGATTGTCTGTGGTAAACATTGGCTCCATTTAGTCTCCATTTCTATGTACGGTAAATCTAATAAGTGAAATTTCGTTTATCAAAACAGTGTAAGCATAGTCCCTTTCGGTCGTGTAATCTCTCTTCGACAATCGCCGTTCGCCGTTCTCCCCGACAACGTTTTTTGAAATAGCTGTATACGCTCTTTCATAAGCAAAACATTTTTAGAGAATTGACCGAGCATTTCCTGAATATATTTTTAGCGACATGATACTCGCTTTTGAAGTTCTTCTCCGTTGTTCACGTAAGCGGTTCTTAATGAAATACATGTTCTCTTCTTGTTTTTTTTGACATTCTTTCCGCTTTCTCATTTGACGGCCGTCCAGAAAGACTTTTGATCGTTATTTAAACAAATGTGTATGATTTTTTTAATTTGACGAATGAAAAATTTGGATTTGCCGTAGCTGGTTTGACTCAGACTTTTTATTATTGTGTATATTGGACTTGTTATCGTAGATATTTCAGTCTCAAGAACTGTAAGACGTACTTTTATAAAAGCTTTCATTATCMTGATGATATTCCACTAGAAAAACAGCTGGCTTAACTGAATTGAGCCCCGATGTAGTTAGTCAACGATCAATCTTATCTTTTGCTTTCTGGCAAAAACTGAATATAAAAATAAGCCTTATTTATTTTCACTATTTCAATATTATTTATTGAAAACACATGCATGTGTTAAAGGATTTAAAGTAAATACTAAGTTTAATTTTAAACCAATTTGAAAAACAAATAGTTGTCAAATTTACTGTAATGTTTTCTTAGCAACGGCAAGTTACAAAAGATCAACTTTATAACTGTAGCAACAGCGTCTATCGCTTAATCAAAACCGCACTGTTTGGGTAACTAAAGCTGCCAAGTGCAAAAGAAATTCTATGCTACTTTTTATTAAATGAAGGATAATTTTTCTCTATGTAGAGATTAGAACTTAGATAAGGAGATTTTTTTTTGCGGGGTTTATCGACGCGCCGTTTTGACAAGCTTTATCTGCGATCAATAAACAGTCTAAGTTTAAACTGATTTTTTTTATCTATATTATTTCTACTTCACCGAACTATGAAAACAACTTGATTTTCGCTTTTTTCTCTTGAAAAAGATGTAATAAAAACGGCGAATATCTCGCTAGAAAACTAGGCTATTYGGAATGATTATTCTCGGTGGTTTCGTGCGAACATTATCAAACAAGCAAACAAAGTGTGTTCTGACTTCCGCATTTTGTATTACATTAATGTTTTTCCCCGGATTTCATTCTTGTATAGCTTTGTCGTAAATAAAAGAGCTTCCCCCAGTTTTCTTGTTTTTTTCAATAGAATGCTACTCTAATATTGAAGATATTCAAATTTATATCCGAAAGAAAAGCCTCTTTTCTTGTCCTTACCTGAATGCCTGCCTCAAGTTGTTTTCGAGATGTTGTCGACTGCATCCCGAAAAATTTTTCGACATGACGACAAACTCTTCGAAATCTATCTCGCCATCAGCGTTGATGTCAAACTGCTCGAACGTAGAACGAATTTGTTCGTCTGTAGGATTGTAGCCAACTGCACGGATTACATCTTCGAATTCTTTGAAGTCGATTCTTCCATCTCCATTGCCGTCAAATAACTTGAAAGCATTTTGCATGAGATGAAGCTCTGAGGCTGGTACAGATTCGTGGAGAGTCATTCTTTTTGAAGATAAAAATTGATCTTCTTCAGGAGAATATAATCCTTTAAATTATAGTCAATTTAACTTTAAAATATTTYCCTTGTGATCTATAGGCGAGAGGTTAAATTGAGCCTGAAAGATGAGCGAGGCCCGAGTAGGAATCTATTTTAAATTTCGCAACTACTGGTCTTTTGATAGTCTAAATCGACGCGGTTTTGATAGCATGCAATAAATCTTCTCGGCATTCATCAACTCAAGTCTGACGAAAGCTGAGAACCTGTAGACTGTCCATATCTAGAGGCAAAACAGTAATATCAAAACTATTATGTATTATGATGAATAATATCAATAATTATAACGAGTTATTGCCCCAGTGTATTCGTCTCTATAGCGACAGTAGCAATAATTTACTGTCGCGGTTGGATCGGAGRTTTTCATAGCGGCAACACCTGTGTACTAGATTTTAGTTTTTCAGTATCCAACTAGCAAAATCTACACATCTCAAATACATAATATATATTTATATCCTTGAAAAACAATCCTTTGAAATTAGAGTTTGAAACTCAACCTTTTCAACCACATCACTGTTCCATTTCTTTCTTTTCAATATTTTTCYATGATTATTTCAAAATTTCATTCAATATTCAATTCATTACAACACGTACGATCTAAAAGACAAGTTCTATAATTTCTGAATAATGAAACATTTGATCTCTGATGACACCGCATTAAATTTTCTTTCAAGTTTTCATAAGAAAACGGCGCTAATTTCCATCTCTATTATCTCTGAATTTCCATCCCTAGTAGTTTAGGAGGGCAAGAGAGARCCGATCATTTCTATAGCAATAACTCTGCATAAACAGATAGTCTTAACAGCTGTTTAAAGAAAMCAAGAATAATGTAAGTCAATACTCGACTTTTGAGTTTTCTTTTGTCCAAGTCTGTTTCATATTTGCCGAATGTGCAAATTCACTATACATCTCGGTACTTCAAACTTTTTTTCTCTTTGTTATCCTTAATCTCCGGGGTATGAATTGTGGGAAAAACAATCAAAAATGTCATGGTTAAAGCTTGTCCATCGGCTGACTTTCATTTTGTATTTTACAGGACTAAATATGCTAGCTTTTAGGTTAACATAGCTTGGAAAAGGAGGCCTTTGGAAGCGGCGAGGGAAACTGAWGCGGAAGCTTGTCAATTTCTTATTCAGTGTCCTTTATGTCTCTCGGTGTTTGCTGAATTTAACAAGCGCCTTTTTTTTCTGTCTCCGGCTTCCTATATATATTACCTGATAGAGTCTGCTTAAATGCTTTGCGTAAACGTTTCGCAGAAACCTCAGGATTACGTTTACGCAGGGGAAAATCCAGCTAGCATAAAATCAATTGATAAATGACAAATATCATGGGAAGTTGAGTTGAAAAGGTGGTTTGTGTTCGCTAAAAACACGCGGTTTTTCGTCTCGGTTTCAGATCGGTTTCACTGCTTCTTTGTTTATTCACAATGGAAAAAAAATGGTAAAAAAACAGTGCTCTATTTATAACAACCAAGAGACCTTGAACTAACAACCATGCGCAGTGAAGACAGTATTTTCGGCGTCCATTTTGTACGTGACCAATTTTATCGCAAATCTTTTCGACGTGCCAGACAATGACGATGAATGAGCTTTTACGATAGTCGCTTTGGGAAATGTTCACAAAAATAGCGCTTTATAAAGTATTTTCGTGTGAACAAAGAAATGTAAACACTCTAACAAACAGCCGCTTTCAGCGTGATCGTTTGAATATGTTGTGGTGTCGACTGGGCATTTTATTAATGGTCATTTTTTTAAAACTGCCAAAAAAACTCGCTCTACGACCATTCAACTTCTTTCATACAATTCTTTCATGTAATTCTTGGTTTTGCGGTGAACGTCAATCATTTTTTGAAAACATCCAATGGATGTTGTTCCAGTCAGCTGTAGAGTCCCTGCTAAACAACATCATGTTTGGCCACACAATGCAGATGAAATGATCAAGCTTTAGCTCTGCAACAAGCGAGAGAGCTAACAATTTGAATCTTTTCTCTGCTCGAACTACAAAAGTCATTTAATATCGTATTGGTCAAGGAAAAGAAAGCTGATGTGGTATAGATATGATAGTCTTAGAAGTCAAAGCACAATTTGAAATAGAAGATTTTGAAWGTAGAAATAGGGACTCGCATTTTTCAAAGAGAAGTCATTTAATCCCAATCCGTCTCGTCTTCTTTTGTTTTCTTATAACAAACAAATTATGGTTGAAACAAAAACCAGATGACAGCTTTAATCAATAAAATTTCAAATTCATAAATGAATAATAATAGCTGGAGTTGCAGAGGACTGTCTGTTAATTATCGAAATATTGTATTCACGATTCAARAGTATCTTTTCAATAGGGAATTGACGTTTTCAACTGTTCATATGCCAGCGATTTTGTAATAACCTACAATGGCATATGGATTYATGAAAACACTCGACATGACTGAAGCATTTTAATGATAATAAAGCGAGGCTTTGTGTATGTTTCTAATATTAAAGTATTTCGTTTCTTTATGAATCTTTTCATTAAAAGTATAATGCTTTTCGTCAAATGTCATTCGTTTCGGAATCTGCTCTCGAGAGATGAAAGAAAAACAAGTCTGAGGAAGAAGTTGGACTATTTTATTTATCATTTGTTTTTTCTATTTCCATTTTTTGAAAAAACCAAATTGCCGTATAGCTATGTGAAAAGGTTTGTGAATATGAATCTAACATAGTAGTGAAATTATATTAGCAGACTGTCTCTACATATCCACAAATAAAAAAAAACGAAAAAAATGAAGTTAAACGATTTTTAATCTAGCACGAATCTGCATAAAAAGAAAAAAAACAATATGATATATGCGCCATGCTGGTATGTTGTAATTATCTCTAACGCTGTGTTCTATCACAGAAAAGCMCAGCACTTGCTAAAATAAGGCTGCCAGTAGCCGGAAATCGATAAATGGCGGTCTGAGTCAATTTATGTTATTTACCGTCTGATTTAGAGTGAGTATGTGCGAGAGTTATTAGTAAATATGAAAAATAAAAGAAAAGAATTTAACTCTAAAGATAATTTGAGTTGATTTATAGCATCGAATAACTCTTTATTTAATAGTGATTAGCAAGTTCTATTATTGGCGGTAGTCCGTCCCACGTTCCCAGCTTCTCTACATTCATTGGACGAATCAGTTGATAACAAAACAGCCGTTGTTCAAATCGACTTCCTTTTTAATTGGAACTTCTTTGATCCAAGATTTTCTCTCAAATTCTCAATATTAAACTCAAACGCTGGTCTAGAACACAGGCAGTCAAGTACAAAAAGCTATGGCATCGAGTTCTGAAAGCGTTCCCTCTAAATTAACAGACAGCAACCACGTTCAACGAATGAGAAAAGCCTTTGAAAGAGCAGACAGCGATTTGAGCGGGAAAATTGCTCGCGCTCAGTTCACTACAGCAGCACAAGCAGCTGGTCTCGATCCAAGCGAAAAGGACGTCGACTGTGTGCTCCAGCAATTCGACAAAGATGAGGAAAGTGGAATTAACTTTGAAGAGTTCATTGAAATGCTGTCACACTTAGAATCAGGAAAAGAAGAAGATTACGAAGAATGCTTGCGGAAAGCTTTTAGGTATGTGGTACACGCTTTACTCGTACGTAATGTAAACCTTATCCCTTGGTCAAACTCAGGTAAACTCTTGTCAACAGTAAAATTTGTTTTATTTGTTTAAATATTGTAGTTATTGAAGCTGTGTTTTTCAAMAGAAAGCTATTTTTGATTGTAAATTACCGGCGCGCAAAATTCAAAACATCCCCTCGATCAAGCGCAGCCCACCTGGTTCGTTCGAAGGGATTGAATATAAGCAATATCTTGTGGCAATGCCTTCGGGTATAAATACATTTGAATATTGACTATCGTTTGCCCACCTATCTGTTTATATTCTTACAAATTACTAAAAATCATCGTCAATTTGCTCTTCGATTGTGGACGTTTTTGTAGGCGTTACTCAAACAGGATTTATGATAACACAATCTCACACACAAAACTTTAAAAAAAATATTTTTTTTTATCTGAAAAAGCCGTCCATCAGAAATATMTTCCATCAGATTGACAAATACAACTTACTAAATTATAGCAAAACACTCGAGAAAATCGAATATGTATGGCCMTGTATCGTTGGCATGACAACAGATTGTCAAATGATTTCAGTCTTCTGGGGCAGTGTAGAAACCTTTTTTTTACTAGTTCGTTACATAAATTCTAAAAAACAGCGTTGTTTATAAAGCGGAKTTTGCCAAATATGAATAAAAAATAACTTGTGTAATTACACGCAGATCGAACCTCTCAGTGTCGCTACAGATACTTGCAAACTCATGTTGCGACAACGACAAACACTGACCTCTTGAGAAAAACTCGCTTGATTATATTAATGCACCTGTTTATTACGAACTCTTCCATATTACGAAACCATTTTTTTACGGACAACGGGCGGAATCAATTACTGATTAAGACAACTCTATAATACGAAAACCTCTATAATGCGAACACCTCTATAAGACAGACATTTCTATGATATGGACACCTCTATAATACGAACACCTCTATAATACGAACACCTCTATAATGCGAACACCTCTATAATACAGACACCTCTCAGAGCACTTCCTTGATAAAGACACTGCCTTTGCTTTGATGTCAAGAACAGCTTCATTTAAAGGGGCGATCCATTAGAATTTTGAGGGGGTTTTGGAAGATTTGTCCGTGCAAGAATTTTTGATATAGCACTTATGACGTGCGCTTGTATTTTTTTGGAAATCTACAATATAGCTTTAGTGCAGATTTTTGTAAAATTTTACCTTGCAGGAATTTTTTTGTGCAGGATTTCTTTAAATCTTCAAACCCAAAATTCTACTGGATCGCACCTTGCGAACATGAATATAGCACATTTAGTATTACCATACTAGTGGACTATAGTCATTAAACTTTTGATTTTTTGGCCCATAGTTCTCTAGCATGCTTTCCCCCTGATAAATATTGCGCAGTTCCTTACCGAGCCTCGGCACACGAGAGAAGTTTTTTTGATTTTGAGAAGTAGTTTGATTCTCAGTTTCATTGACGTTTAGCTCGAGAAGTTGCATCCCATTTCCACAAAGGTCACGTAATATGCAACCGATCATCGTAACAGGACATATTCACTAAAAAAATCGATAAGCAAAGATCCACTAAATTGATCTAAAATGCTGTTTGTAATCACGCATATACTCACGTGCATACAACTAGTGGCAAGGAAATAAAAGCCTTATATATGCTGTCGATGCTCCTCAAAACGATGAAAACCAAATTCCAAGAGTTATTATTTCAAAATTTCCTGGGTGAGGACCCAAAACCCCCTTAATACACCCTCAATCGAAAAAAATGTGTCGCGGTCCCTGACGTGTGCATACTAGCAAAAAGCAAAAATGTCCACGCTACGCGTCTGGCTTTTAAAAATCTTTAAAGTGTTTAACACTGGCTTTCCCTTTATCAAGGCAAATCGACCGTGACGGAAGTGGTTACATCTCTCCTGAGGAGTTGCGTTACGTGGTATGTAACACAGGTGAAAAGTTTACCCAAAGCGAGGCRGARGAGTTGATTGRCATGTTCGACGTCAAYAAAGACGGTGAGCTGAGCTGGGAAGAGTTYGTTACGTTCATTAAGAGTAGTATTATGGAAGAAGAAGAAGACGAGAAGCTCATCACCACAGAGAAAGCAGAAGAAATAACAGAGACCAACAAAGACATTGAAAACAACAAACTGTAACACAATTCACGTCACGCTTTAGAAAGTAACGCAATACACACCATTAGGGTAGAAAAGCAGTAGTTTTCCACATTTAAAAACATCGTCTATACAAAAGATGTCATCAGATGAAGAAGTCATCGATCGTAGAAACTTTGTGAATGAAATATTTCATACGCTTGATATTGTGATGATTGATAAACAGACATTCTTTTCTTTCGGTTTTGGATCGGGGAACTCGTAATGCACTAGTCAATAGCCGAATTGCGAATTACGCATCAATAGTCACATACAAAGGAATCAAGACGAGGCGCCGTGCTTTTTTGTGAAAAATCTATTGTYTTTAGCACGGCTCCTCGTCTTGATTCCTTTGTATGTGACTATTGATGCGTAATTCGCAAGTCGGGTATTGAAACCCCCGACCCCCGGGGGATACCGGGGAATTTAACGTTCGAGTGGTGTTAAAATAGGACATTTCCCCAGTTAGTCGGGGGCACATTTAACTGTTAAAACCCCTGCTCTTTTAGTACTTTTGCCCCGCTATTTTGGTCTAGTAGTAAATAACAAAACAAACACCTTTCAATCAAATTTTCTGTGATACACAGGGTTAGCTTTTGCACAATCCTGTGTACTCATTTGCGTACTACATTTAATCTCACCGCATGAAAGACCACACTACAACAATGATTAGTGTTAGCCTACTCAGATCCGATATCCCCTATATTCGCTATACGGGGACGTGCAGCCAACCAGGGTATCGTTTTTAGCGATTTTACTCTGGAACAGGGTATCGATTTTAGTGATTTTACTCTGGAACAGGGTATCGATTTCAACGAATTTTCTCGAATTTACTCTGGATCAGGGTTTAATTCCGGAATTATCGATGCTGGGTAAAAATTCACGGGGTTAAAATTCGGTCTACAAGCAGGCTAGTGCTGGATTTTACTCTGGAACAGGGTATAGTTTCAGCGATTCTGCTCCGGGACATGGTATAGTTTTCAGCGATTTTACTCTGCTGGAACAGGGTATAGTTTTCAGCGATTTCACTCTGGAACAGGGTCTGGGTTTTGAGGGCCCAGCGGCACACCCCCACACAAGTTTGGAGGGAGTACCCCTCCCCCCTCGGGAATCCTACGGAATTGCCACGTTCTCGTGGTGGAGCTGTTTGAGTGTCCGGTTGACCCTTAGAGCTATGTTGACTTAAGTCTTCAACTCTTGGTAGGGCCTCCCATGTCAAACAGGTCGAAGGGTAGGGTCCTGAAAAAGAGTAATTCCCTGGTCCTCCAGGTTGGGGGTTGGGCACAGGGCTAACAACCCTATCCTGTCAAAAAATATTTGTTATACGGAAACAGCAACAAATTTACCAAATATTTTTGGCTACGACCTCCAGAGGGAAAAAGGAAAAGGGGGGGACCAAAAACTACCTAGCGAAGAACGTTACTATCAGAGATGAAAGATATGGGATTCACTGCATGGAATTTGGAAAGAAAGGCCCAGAATAGACAGGAATGGAAGGATTTTGTTGCTGCCCTACTTGTCAATCCCGGGGGGTACTCCCCTATATTCGCCATACGGGGACGTGCCGCCAAACAGGGTAACGTTTTCAGCGATTTCACTCTGGATCTGGGTATCGTTTTTAGCGATTTTACTCTGGAACAGGGTATCGATTTCAACGAATTTTCTCTGGAACAGGGTCAGGGTTGAATTCCGGAATTATTGATGCTACTGTAAAAATTCACGGGGTAAAAAATTCGGTCTACACGCAAGCTAGTGATTGTGTGCATATAATTTATATTGATTTACTACATCTATTGGTAGCCAAGTGTGTTCGTTATTTAAAGAAACTTTTTTTTAAGAATACTTAAGAACACTTAGAGGCTGATTTTGCAGATTATAACCCTGTATATAAGAACCAAATCATCATGACGAGTTATAAGTCATCATGGCGGCTTATATCTCACCATGACG